GGATTTCGTGTCGTTGGAAGTCGGTCGATTGAAACTTTGGACATGTGAGGGGTATGGACGCCTCCCAGCGGGCGCGTTAGGTAGGCGACGCCGACTTTGGGCCAGGTCAGTGACCGCGCGCGAGCGGAGGGAGGGGGCCGTGGATGATGCGTCGCGCTCACCGGGCGGAAGGCCCTCCCGGCCAGCAGGGTCTCTGGGTCTCGGCAGCAGCTCTATGGCGGCAGCCTCAAAGACGGTGTGCCGTCGTTGTCGGCGACCCCTCCTCCCGGGCGGCGGCGGCCCGCCGCGCGCCCGCGTTGGGTATAAATGCAATTTGTCCGTCGCGCTGCAGCGGAGTCTGTTTACCGAGTCGAGCACAAATGAGATGCAAATTCGTTCGTTTGTTGCCCGAGTCGATCTCGTTCAGGCTGCACCGACCGCAGTGGCCCCGCCGCCCCCTGGCCCCTGGCCCGCGGGTGCCGGGGGAAAACTTTACCCGGATGGCGGGCGGGGCGCCGGGGCAGAGTGTTGGCCGTGGTCAGTGCGCATGTTTGTGGCTGGGAGTCGGGCGTATGGCGCGGATTAGAATTAAAGTGGATATGCTGGCCAGAGCGTGCGAGAGAAGAGGAGAGAGAGAGAGAGAGAGAGAGAGAGCGAGAGAGAGAGAGCGAGAGCGACGGAGAGAGAGCGTAAGCGCGTTTTCGACCGTTTGAATTTACTCGCAGTTTCCGGTGTTTCGGTGCGCCGCGGTATGGGACGTGTGTGTGTGTGTGTGTGTGTTTACCTTGCAAGCGACCCCGCCCGCCTGCAGCCCATCCATCTTGGATGTGGAGAGGGGAAAAAGAAAAGGGTGGAAGGGGGGGGGGGCGGCGCCCAGCCTGTGCCGCATTCTTAAAATCGCATCGGCGTTTAATTCCAGGGCGAGCAGGGGCTGCGGGGATGCCGATGGCGGGGCGGCCCGCCTTGCTGCAGACTGCAGGCGGGCGGGCGCGCGTGCGTACGTGAGGCGCTTACGCCCCAGTGAGTAGGACCGAGGGGGGGGGGGGGGTAGGTCCAGCCGCCGGCACCATATGGCCGGCCGAGGCCCCCGAGCCGAGCCGTCAAGCGAGCGAATAAAGCATTCCGCTATCGAATATCGAACACGGTGGAGCCGGACCTGGGCCCGGACGGCCCGGCGGCGCAAAGGCGGCAGCAGAAGTAGCCAAGGGCGTGAAGCAGGAGGTGGAGGAGAAGGGAGAAAAAGCACCGTGGCGATGGCGTTGCAGCTGCTATGCTGGTGCGGGGCCGCTGTCTGTGGGGGCGCGGCGCGCAGGGTGGCGAAACGCGCTCTTGCAGATTTCCGAAGTCTAATTTGTATGTCGCCTTTCACTGTATAAACTATCCACAACATTAATGACTATTAGCAAAAAAAAAAAACATTGTTTATTAGACCACAGTTTTAAATTGTAAAAAAACTGCATGCGTGGTTTCCAGTAAATTTTAACAGTTTGTCCGTAAACCGTACACTGACAAATAAAGTTTGCAACTGGCGTTATGTGGCACACTTTTAAGAGTTCGACCGTCTATTTGGAATACGTTGTGTACAGGGAGGGGGGGTAGCAAACACGTGTGTATTGTGACCACGTGCGTGGTTTATAGTATTGTATCTGCGGCCAAACACTTAAAAGTGTGGAACATAGTGTTGAGCGCTTGATGTGAACGCCAGTTGAACACTTCAGTCAGTGTAGGATAGAACACAAAATTTTACTTTTTAAAACCATGTTTTTAATCAAGTTAAAAACTGTTGTTAATGCTGCGTCCAGTTTTGTGCAGTGATATAGTATTCCCGTTTTTAGAGTTGTCAGCAAAAATGTTTGGTTCTGCTTGCCGCGCTACGTTGGCCCAAACGAGTAAATTGCGCGAATTGTTTGCCTTGTTCTCACAATGTGGTTAACCTAGTTGGGTGGGAATATAAACCCGCACACTCAGTATGGGTATCATGATTATCTCTTTTTTTTACCAGGTATCATCAAACTTTTGTTGTTTTTATTACTCTTGCAGACTCCTCCATGTATGTAAATCAACACCAGACGCGCTAACGTTGCATTTGCACAGCTGGACGGACGGACAGAGGGGAAAGAGGGGGGGGGGGGCAGAAAATATTGAAATCCGTGCTCCTGCTGCAACGGGCGTGGGAGGATAGAGGGGAGAGCAGAGAGCAGCCGTGCTCTAGCACATATTTCAGGAAGCTATTCGGAAAGATTAAAAATAGAATCGGAAAGAGTGAGCAACAAATCTTTCTCAATAGCCCACTAGGAAATGGAGATGGGCAAGTGATAGAGGATGATGCATCAGACGGACGGACCGGAGTGAGAAGGGGATGGAGGGAGGGAGAGGAACGGAGAAAAATACTGTAAGAAAGTGAAGGGGAAGGAAGAAGGGGTCGGGGAAATGCTAATATAAGGAAAGGTCGTCCGCGCAGAGTTTATGGCGGCCGAAAGTTGTGTTCATTCTGTGTTTGGCTCCGCCTTGGCTCTGCCGCCCCGCGTCCGGGTCGGGAACGCCCGCGAGGTGTTCGGAGGGCGGCTCGGTGCGGTATCGCGCCCGGCCCATCGGGGCCATCGCCGCGACGAAAATGAAAAGATAAGGAAATGGGATGAAAAGGTGCCGAGCCGTTCCAAGCAAGCGGCAAGGGGGCGCGGCGGCATAGGGCCCGGGG